GTGTATCGATAGAGATCTCTTTGGAAATACTCCCTCTTTCTGGGTCATCTCTCTCCAGGTGGTGCCCCTCCAGGTCATCTCCCTCTCAGGGTCACCTCTCTCTTGGGGTCTCACTCCTGCAGTCAGCCCTCAGTATCAGATGCTAGGGCTCTTATCTCTGTTCTGGGATTGCAGTTTTGGGACTCTCCCTGCACCAGGATCATCAGCTGGGAATTGTCTGACCCTTGGTCATTGGGTGGTGAGTGATACATGGTGTATCACTCATTTGTATATTTTACAATATTTACTACAATTATTGTAATTATTATTATTTCCAATATTATTGTAGTTTAGTTGTTAAATTGTTTTTATCTCAGCCTACGAGTCTCTTTTCCCTTTACCCCTTTAATTCTCTCCCCCATCCCCAGGAGGTGGGGGTTGAGTGAGAGGCTGCGTGGTGTTTGGCTGCCAGCCAGGATCACAACTATGACATACTATCACCAGCCTTTCCATGGATCATTTCACTCCATCTTTCTGCTAGCTCTGTTCTCCCTAAGGAATACCACAATCTCTGTTCCACCACAATTCCCCAAAGGGAGCCCCTGCTATCCCAATCTCACAGACTGCTACACCCAGAAACACTCTGCCATCTAAAACCACTCCTGGCGCAATTGCAGCCTCTCTTGCACCAGAAACTAAAGGTCCTGACATGCTTAAGACCTTGAACAGACTGATGTCATGCCAGATGACCATACCAAACACGAAAGCATTAAGCTGTGTTGCACCTTCACACTACTGCCACATGTCCAGAATAATACTCCTTGAACTTGTTCTTTCCTTTTACAGGAGAAGGATGAAAACTGCTTGTAGTGATGTGGCCAGATTTAGCAATCCTTCTGCAGTTTACACAGCAAACAACTTGAGGGAGCCGTCTAGTGAGTCATTGTTTTCCTTCCCCCACTTTTTATCAAGCCTCAGAGCAGGATGTTTTAAAGCCACCTCTACTACATACGTAAGGAAACACCATTTTGGGCACATTCGGGCACCTACTTGAATCTCTAAAAGGACAGAGTTCCCTTTCATGCTTACATGGTACTTTTGCTCTTTCCCACGGGAAAAGAAAGAGGAGCACCTGCCTCCATAATGGTTGGCTCTGCAGTTCAGGGTCACCCACTTTGTCTCGAGGTGACAGCTTAAGGACAGCAGCTGTTTGTGATGGTGAGCTGGACTTCGTACTTTGCAAGTATTTTCTTTCTCCTTTGCACACTCCTCCCCCCTTCCCCTTCCTCAGCCACTCCCCTCAGAGGCTGCCTGTATTTCTGGAATACATTAAGCTCATTTCTCATTATTTCACTGTTGATTCCTTTGATTCTCCTTTCTCAGAGTAGAGTCTATGGAGTTTTTTGTGTTGATTTTTGTCTAAAGCAAGTGAGAGTTCTCTTTGATCATCCTTGGTTTAGCTAATTTTCAATGCTTTGGGGGGAATTAATGTTAGTTTTTAGTATTAAGATGATGAGACTCTCCCTGCCCTTCTTTCTGCAGGTTCCTTGATCTGAATAGAGCAGATGGCAAACTACGCCTTTACATGTTACTTGCTTGGGAAATAGGAGATGCTGAATCCACAGGGAGGGATTTTAAGAGGAATAATAAATGGAACGACAAGACTGCAGATCTAAAGTCATGCAAAATTCAGAAAAATGCTTATCCAATGCCTACCTTTAAACATAAGCATAAATTCCACAGACCTCAGTGAAACTATTAATAAATTTACAATTACACTTATGGAAAAACAGCTTCTCAAATTAAGGCATAAGAAGCATGTCATCACTATGAGGAGTAAATACGACATGTGCCTAATACCATGACCTGTATCTTGTATACTCTGCCTCTTAGCAAAGATATTTCTAAACACAAGGAACCTACAACTGTAAAGTTCTCTCCAAAATTTGTAAAATAATGGCAGATTAAAGCACCAGAGATATTTTAACTTCAGTAATCAGGTACATATTTACTGGGGATGTCTGCCTCTCCATTTGCCTCTCCCTCTTGCTATGACAGTGGCATCACATGCACAGCTACACTGAGAGTACAAATTCTATCAGCACCACAGCAGGAGAAAGAGACTGGCAGCGGAGCTAAGTTCACCTCTGCGGCTGGCACAGGCCGGGCAGTGTCACCGGCTGCAGAGCACGGCAAGAACCCCAACAGCTCTTCCCACACCCAGCCTGCTGCTGCACGGCAAAGGCAACACCACTGTGGTTGCACCTGAACTGGGCAGCCACCCGCTGCATTTGCCTGAGCTGTGATTCAGTGATCTGAGGAAGCAAAAGGGGAAAGGAAACGGGGAAAAAAACAAAAAAAAAGGAGAAAAAAAAAAAAAAAAAAGAGAGCAGCTGTCTGTAGTTGCATCAGAGTTGCTTTGCCCCCTACAAGCTAAAAGAAAAAGCCTTGCTGAGCAAACATGGCCACATATCTCTGGAGCCTTCTAGTTTAAAAAGTGGAATTGGAAATTCAGCTAAGTGTTTCAGAGCAATTTTTGGCCTCTCACTAGAAACACAAGTGTCACTGGTGACATATTTATCTGCCATACTATATGCTATAGCAACATATGCTCATAAACATTCCTGTTTACAGTTCTCAGCTGCTACATAATTGCTTGTCACTTGTCCATTGTATGGCAGCAGAACTGTTTGTTAGTAAAGCTAACGACCACCTAAGAATGTGCTTCCTGCGCTCTTTATATGACTAGGTTGTGAAGTGCAGTTAGTTGCAAAGTGCAAAGTCAGCTGCAGCTGATTTCATATCAAAACTGCTAGTTCTTGAAGCATTAGCCTAGGTTACTCATATAAACCTAAAATATTGTTCAAGAACCTCATCTCCACATGTTATGGCACAACACATAACCAGCTAAAGATACAGAGAAATATCCTTGACATCAAACTGCCCATATGGGCAACAATATTGGTATAGTATATGCACAAAGATGAGGCAATGAACCCTTCTAACATACATTTTAATCTGCTTCAATATACTGCTGTCTTTGGCACAGGGAAAGTTAATTATCTTGATCTTTATTATTTTCTTGATCTTCATCTTCAGTTCAACCATTTTTTCATGTAATGAACTCCTGAAATTGAATTTAATTTTATCCTATTAAAGCTTTTTTTGTTGTTGTTAAAAAAGAGTTGCTGTGTAATGCATAGGGTAACTTGGCAAGATTCAATGATGAGTTCTAGAAATAGGAAGTTTTAGTGATCATTTACAGTACAGGGGACACAACACCTCTTGAAATACACGTATTGCTGTTATATCAGTTAACTAGAAGAAAAATTTCTGCCAAGACCTACAGTTAGCAGCACTACAGTGTACAGTGAAGTTATGGAGTATGGTTGGTTTTTTTTTAGTTTATGAAGGAAGATGTATTGCGGTGAGGCTAAACAGGTGGTAGAGCAGCTCATAGCCCTTTTGGGACCGACTGTCACTTTGATGCTTGTTGTAGTTTTACCCCTGGCTAGCAAAAGACCACAACAACCACTCACCGTCCCACCTCCCAGGTATGGAAGAGAGAATTAAAGGGGTAAAGGGAAAAGAGACTTGTGGGTTGAAATAAAAACAATTTAATAACTAAACTACGATAAAATTGAAAATAATAACAATAATAGTTATGATAATAATAATAGTAATATATACAAGTATACAAATGAGTGATAGGCAGTAATACTGCTCACCACCCAATGACCAAGGCTCAGCCCATTCCCGGCCGATGATCCCAGAGCAGGGAGAGTCCCGAAACCAAAACCCCAGAAAGGGAGATAAGAACCCGAGCGAGACTGAGAGCTGACTGAAGAAGCAAGACAACCCCGAGAAAGGGACAACCCAGAGAGGGAGATGGCCCAGAGCAAGAGGGTATGACTTGGAGCAGGAGAATACTTCCAGACAGAGCCTCATCTATATACTGGGCATGCTGTGCATGATATGGAATATACCGTTGGGCAATTTGGGTCTCAGTCCTAAACCTAAGGCCAGTAACTGGGGCTGTGCTCCCTCCCAGCTTCTCCTGCATCTGCAGACACTGGCACAGCAGAGAAGCTGAAAAGTCCTTGACTGTCCTGGCAGCAACCATAAACATCAGTATGTGGTCAGCTTTCTTGTGAGCACAAATCCAGAACACAGCCTCACACTAGCTACGATGAAGAAAGTTAACTCTGTCCCAGCTGAAACCAGGATAATACTTGGCATATTAGAGTTCCCAGCAAGCTCAAACACAACATCTTAGGTTTAGAACATCAATTTCTTTAGGGGATCACATCCTTTAGATGTTAAGATAGCTCATTTTCACTAAAAAAAAAAAAATAAAAAAAAGAGAAAAAAAAAAATCACACAGCAGAGTGGCTTAGATTCCTATAAATTCTGGCTGCCTAAGGGAGTGGCATAGCTCTCTGATCCAAAGCGTGGCTACCAATACTCCTTGCAGATTTCAACTGAAGAATTTTTCTTCCAGTGACACGGAAACTCTCAATAATTCAAAACTGCTTGATGGATTTCCCAGTGCAATGAAACTCCAGCTGAGAAATACTGATGCAACTGGACAGAAGGCTGGGACTTCCTAGAGACAAATCTAACCTTCATACTAACATTAACAAGCATTACTTGCTTATTACCTTTAACTTTATGTACATTTACCATCAATGTTTGTCCAGCTGAAAATTTGAACTTGTTGTGAAGGGTCTTAATCTTTCAATGTATACATACTACGCAACACTTCACAAGGCAGTTTCTTCCTTCCTTAAACTGAAGCACGCTGTCTTAAGAACACTCCTAGAATACAAATGTACATCTAAGCTCAACTCCATTTTTTATAACATCCAGCAAACACACTAGAAAATGCTGCTCCTTAAAGCAATACTATCAATTCCTTTGGTTTATCTGAGGGTTTCACAAAACAGATATCAAGTGCCATTCTGTTGACTTGCCTTGACACAAAGGCATGCATGCCTTACACTGGATAAATAGGTACTTACATTCCATAAAATAGGGGCCAGGTTCAATCCGCCATACAATTTGTCCTTTTTGTGTGCCAGTCACTCCCCGATTTTTGGAATCCCAGAAGTTGGCTGGAGAGTTCTCATCTGAAAGGGGAAAGAAAGAAAATTCTGTCAAGTAGTATTTATAATAGTTTTCATCTTGGTTTTTCTGTTCAGTTCAAGAGGCTGAGATATAAAAAATGACTTGCATTTAAAAAAATAATTAAACTAACTAGCAAAAGATAAATGGCTTCTCTTTTACAGTCGATAGATTAATTTATGCAGAGTGAGCAGACACAAATACAGCCAAAGTTAATATATGGTTTCCTGTAAGAGGTGACCTGCCAAGGCAAAGTATTAAATTCCAAAACTTCCCTAACTCGATAGTGAGGCTATTGGGAACACAGAGGTGACTGCAACTTCATCACAAAGTTATCACATCATTTTATACAGCGGTCCTGCTCTGTGATGTGAAAATCTAGCATTCATTCCCTAGCTAGAGGGTATGGAATTGCAAATACAGGCATCAGGACTTACATCAGTTGTTAATATATTCCTATATGTTAGAAACTAGAGAGATTATTTTTTACACATACACCAAAAAAATCTGCCACTTTCAATTTCCTGACACATACAGTATTATCCCCTATCAGTGAACTCAAGCTAGAGGCTCAAAGGGCAGGACTGTCACTTAATAAACAACACACAAATAAGCAATTCAGCAAAAGACACTCAAAAGAGAACTGAGAGGCAAACAGCAAGCATCTACAGATCAGCTTAGCAATATCAGTGTTTTCCCTTCACAAACTGCGCTTTTTGTCCTAACAGTGACCAAAAAAAGGTTAGGGTGTTTGTTTTACCAGCCCGTATACAGGCACCTAGAACACTGTATGAATGAAAGAAAACTAGAGTGCCAAGCACTTTGAAAGGGCACAAAGGTTAGCTACGATGACCCAGAGGAAGCTGACATACATCCAGCTTAACTTCTTTCGTACAGCAAGTTCTTTGGAAGTATGCATCATAACATTTTATGAGTGCATTTAGGCAGCTTTTTCTTAATTGGACAGTTATACCTGTGACCTCAAATACAACATCCTAATTCTTTCCAGTGGTACTTGATATCCCTTAGCCTTAATTTTTTTTATTTTTTTTTTTAAATCCTGCATTACTACATACATTTGAGTGCACTCTGCAATCTTGCAAAGACTTCACTAAGCACTTAGTCTATTGTGGCTTTGCCCATGAAGCTCCTATCCATTCAAACACGGTTTTTTTGTACTTGGGTAGGAACTCCCACATAAATATGATTACAGCATTGCCACCTACATTTCAGAAATCCATACGCTGTTTACGAAAGAATAATAAACAACTCAGCTTTGTTACTTTTATCTTAAAAACAAACTTACACTGATGCTTTTCTGTCCTTTTCACTTTGACTGCTCATGTCAGTGTATGCACGATAACTCTACTGAATCACGATTAGTGCAATCTGTACATTCACATCTCATCAAACTGACATGCAAAGCGTTACCAGACACATGCTGGATTTCTGGGATTGCTCCAAAGCAGGTTACACACCCTGTCCATGACCCGGAAGAGCTCTGGAGAGTCAAGAGGCAGCCATGGCAGGCTCCTGACATCTCTATGCCTCCAGGCATGAGTGAATTTGAGAATTTTTAGAAAGCTGTGGTCTGAACACCTCAACATCACAATGAGTCCAGAACAGTTTCATAATTATCTCAACAACAATGAGAAGGGACAGGAGGTTTCTCCTAACGCCTGTGATCCTTGAGCATGTAACACCCTCAGGCCTAACTTTTTGTGTGGAATCAACAGGACAGGACATAAACTGCATACACCAGAACATCAGGTACACAGGGAGTAAAAACTTAAAACATGCATACTTATTCTTCATTACAGCAAAAAACTTTCAGAGTAAACAAAGCTATATCTCACCCATTTTTTTTTTTCAAAGCTATGTACTTTCAGAGGGACTCTGAAGCCTGTAAATCGTCCCATGGGCTTTAAAAAAAAAACCTCCCTGTATGTGGTTTGCAATGACACTCTAACCAAAACAATACACTGTTCACTTATTTAATTACTTCTTTATTTTTTAATGTGCCTTCCTAAGCCAAGGTCCCATTATTACCTCTCACAGACAGAGCTCTGGGAAGCCAGGAGTTAAATACCTTAACTTCCAGCAAATCTCCACTAGTCCCTACTTTGGTCCACCATACAAACTTGATTATTCAAACCATCGCTACCAAAAGCAAGCAGATTCTTTAAAAATTCCAGAGTTATCTGAAACACAGTTAGACTTACATTATTCAGTGTTCTCTGTGTCTATCGTATGACAAAAAAACCACCTCCCCTAACATGCTCTAGTTCTTCTGAATTTATGAATTTCTGTATTTAATCAACTGTAGAGGAAACTGTTCATAATTCTAAGCAGAAGGACAGCTATGTGGTATATTATAACCATAAACATGACATTTTTTATTCTTATCTTGTTCAACAAATCAAGGAACTCTGAAGCAGCTAAATATGCCTTCAACATTGAGATTTCCAACATTAAGGCACAAGCAATTGTTCTTTGTTTTTTAAAATCTGTAACTAAGTCAAGTCAATGGTAATTTTCACAGGGACATTAGTGAGCTTCAGAAAAGGCCCTACATGAACTGAGTCTCAAATTCTCTGCTGACAGCTACAAGAAAGCAGAACACTGTCTTACACCTTATTTAAGAAAATCCAACATTTAAGAAAGTACCTGGATTTTCAGCCCTTTCATGAAGGAATAGTCTCCTTTGCAGCAATGAATATGAAATCATTGATACTCTGCCCACAGGCATGCTGCCATTGCAACAGAAGGTGGTGGAGACAGAGGAATAAAAATGCTGACAGACCACTGTGTGTCAGAAATCGACTCAAATTACAGAATTTATTTTGGACAGCTTTGATTTACTTCTGAAACAGCTGATTTTTTTCTACTTTTATGATGTTATTCACATAGGGAAAAAATAACATTATTAATGCATATGGAAAATTATGGAAAATAAATTCAAACCTCAATTCATGGATTTTAAAAAAAGAAACTGAACAGCAAAAAAATCAAATAGCATGAGAACATTAAAGTACATGATACTGCTGAAATTTATTTATCAACATGGCAATAAAAACCAGGTGAACAGTGACATTCTCGGTAATATTCGAGTGTGCCAAAAAAAAAAAAAAAAAAAAAAAAGTGTTTGAGAGCACAAAAAGCACTGTCAAAATTACCACTACCTCATCTCTCCTCTTCCCCAAAACCTATATACACACACATATACACACTATATATATATTCCACCCCCCCCAGAGAAATTAAATTCTAAGAAGTTCTAGTCCCCTTTCAGCACATAATTGTTGCTGTTCGAGAAACTGGCAGCTGTTCCAGAATCTGGGCCAAAAAGTGGATATAAATATCCCCAGCCAGAACATAAAATACGCAACAAAATATTGTCTTACTGCATTGGTATCTTGTCCAGTGAGTCTACACTTCCGAAAGAAATTAAAAAATGCAAGATGCATAGTATCTTTCTATCTTCAATAACTCTTAGACACAAAATATTACCAAAAGTAACTTATTTCTCAGAGCTGCAACGCCTGCACAAATCAGCATATGTGAGATATGTTCTACAATGAGAAGTGGGTAATGGAACTGCACACTGACTAGTGCCCCTTGAAATCACTGTACAGCAAACGTCTTCTCAGTAATAATGTCTTCTTTAAGTGCTAAGCAATCAGTCAAACCCAGTATTAAGAAAAGAACACATGTTTTTCCACTTTCAGTCTTCATCACCATTACAACCCAGCATGCCCATGCAGTTTCTGTACTGGGAGCCCAGAAAGGACGCAGCACTCAGATGTGTGTCACCAGTGCTGAGCAGACGGGCAGGACCACCTCCCTCAACCTACTGGCTAAGGCTCTTCCTGCTGCAGCCCAGGATGCCAGTGGGTGGCCAGGGCACACTGCTGGCTCTCGTTCGACTTGTCCACCAGCCTCCCGGTCTTTTTCTGCAAAGCTGGTTTCCAGACAGTCAGTCCCCTGCCTGTCCAGGTGTCAGCAGTATTCCTCCCCAGGGGCAGGACTCGGCATTTCCCTGTGAACTTTGTGACGTTCCTGTTTGTCCACTTCTCCATCTTGTCTGAACTGCAGCACAATGATCTGATTTATCAACTGGGACTCCCAGTTGTGCATGAGGATGTTACAGGGGTGTCGAAAGCCCTGCTAAGCCAGTACCCGACATCAGGGGTCAGGATGCTTCTGCAGAATTCATGTTTTGTTCTTTGTGTCTTATCACTTTCACTATTATTCACTGAATTAATAAATAAGATACAGTCTTCTGTAAGACAGTTAAAAAACAAGAACTGCTACCAGTTAATATCTGAAGCAAGCCTTACAGTCCCAGTGCACAGACTGGTCATGTGCAAACCAGTGCTCACCTTTTGGTCCCAGTTTCTGTGGTCAATAGTGGTAGGTTATATGAATTAATATAAAGGATTTTTTTTTATTCTTCTAATACACAAACATTATAGAATTCATCAATTCCTAGTGCAGAAACATCACAGATTGGTTACTGCATAGGAAGAAGTTCAAAAGTTCCCTCGAGCAATCTAAGAGCTTGAAACTTTTGCATACTGAGTTCTTTTCCATAACACATTTATAAAGTTGCTTATATGCAGAGCTCAGAGAGAAGGTGATGCTTAACAGATTCCGAATGTCACTGAATGGTTTTAATTATACACAATTTTACAATTTTCATATTTCACTACCATATACGGTTATTCTAATTCACAGCTCTTGAAAAATCTGTGCAGCTTAGCTCAGAAAAGATCAATCATGTTGGTAACACCACTGTATCCCTGCATAAATCTGTTATCCTCATCTGGGATTTACATCCCAATTTCTATTTTTTTCATCCCTTTCTGGAAGATGTCTTATGCAAAATCTTTTGAAGTGTTTGTATTGTTTATTCTTAATTTAAAATTTTAAATTAAGTTCAGATTGTCAAAATGCTCACTTCCTTAGCATTTTACATTAATTTTAACAAATTCTTGGGCACTGAAGATGATGTGTGCGATGCATCCAGTTGTTAAGAGGGGTGTTTGTACTCAGCCCGGGGAAGCTTCTTAAAGCATCGATCTAAATGTTATTTCTATTTCTCTTGTCAGGTGTTCTCTTACAGTATTTATCAGAAGAGCTGGAAGGCTGGTAGACAGCAAGGCTACGTATCGTTTTATCTCAAGCTGAGATTCATCAATCTTCCACCAGTTTCTCTCATAAGCATACAACTGAGAACAATCATCCCCTATTTTACTGTGTCATTTCACTCAGTCTTTAAAAGTAAGAGGTTTGTAGTTCATCTGCATCAGAGGACATTTCTGAACTTAACTTGGCGCCAACCATCAGGACGTCTCTAGGATGGCATTTCCAATGTAAAACAGAATCTGATTTACATGCATTTTACTTCATGACTTCCAAAACCTCAGTCCTGGTGCCAGTAAGTGCACTGCTTTTTGGTGTGAGCACAGATTCCCCAGCAGTAAAACAGGCTGTCACCAAAAATTTAAGATTAATAAGAATATTCCAAGGAATCCTTGCTGTGGATTTCTAGCAACTGACTGGGAAAGTTTCTAACATTAAATCTGATGCAGTATTTTCACTTTGGTAACCTCTAGTAATTTTAATTCTAGAAATGCTAAAAAAAAACCAAAATAGCCATGGGTGACTATTAAAGTAGCACAATGCTTACAGAACTAACTAAATGAGTTTCTCCCTTATATCCAAAATATGCTTAAAAAAAAGCAATTGAAAACTGCATCAGGGCACATTTAAAGTAGAAGACAAATTTTATCACCTGAGGCCTCACTCCTTTTCTGAAAAGCCAGTAAGTAAATTAAAAATTTCAAGGCAGAGCTTCCATTGCAAGCAATTATTATAATAAATCACATTATGTCAACCCATTTAAAACACATTATATATCAGTTACAACCGTACAAATATTCACCCACTACGTACAGCCTATGTTCTCTGATTTTCAGAATTCCCCATCTCAGTCAGTTCACAGGCTTTCTGGTGGAATGAAAACATCTGTCACGGAAGAAAGCACTAGTGTATAGAGCACATTGCTGAAATTAAAGATCAACATTTGGTTGCACCTTCTAGGCTTACCTTGCCATTCCAAAAGATGTCTGTGGATCCTAAACTGCATTCCTCCATCTGAGCCTAATTAACACACTGAAGAATAAAAAAAACTTAACATTTTACAGGGTGGATCCCAAAAATAGCCATCTGTGTTCCCAATCACAAGCAGTATTTTCTACAAAAGTTGTCTTCTGGACCCAGCCTGTGCCGCTCAAGTTTGGAGGCTTTAACTCTGTTGCATAATCTCAGCTCCAGGAGGCACGTCTGTCCTCTCCCTTCCTCTTGTCATTTGAAGGAAAGGGTTTTAGAAGGATGTTCTCAAACTCCCTGGCAGTTTCTAGCAATTACACACAATCGTCTGCCTCTTCTCCTTTAATCAAGAGTTTATCTAGGTTCAAACAGCCTGTGCTAAAAACATATAAAGTATTACGTCCTTCAAGCTCAGCTATTTGCGGCCACTCCCCTCCGAAGGGTACAGGATGCCAAAGCCCCATTCTCCCTCCACTTCCTTCCTCGCCTTGTCCGAGGGAGGATTCCGAGGCATGGCCACGGCCCCGCAGCGTGGGGCGGGCTGATGTAAACAGGAGGATCGTTAAATCCAAGTAATGACGGCAAGGCAGCCACAGCAACCAGCACAGCGGGATCTCACTGGAAGTGCTGGCTTTTGTTTACTCAGGATTTTGCTCTCCCGCATGACTTCCCCACAAATCCAGTTATCTTAGAGAAGACAAGACTGCTCCGTGACTTTAGGCTGGGACGAAGCTGCTTTTCAGCCAGGATAACTCTGAACTGGGAATTCCTGAGCCAGAGGACAAGCAGGTGGCAGAGAACTGCTATTCCCACCTCTCCTCTTCCAGGCTGGTAAATGCCACCTCGGCACCGGGGCTGGGACAAGGCTCCATTTTGCCAGATGCGCTGACTGCTCACCAGCCTCTTGGGGATGCTGGCAGCTGACCTACAGCTCCTTCAGCTTACGGCAAGGACCCAAACTGTGCCAAAGCAGCGTCAGTACTGCAAGAACAAAAAGGGTACTTAAAGGTATCTTTGCAGTCTGGTCCATGGACTGCAGATCAAGTCGTTCGCAGCACACATTTCACGAAATTGCATGCTTGTGGAGTACTAGGTTCAAACTCTCAAAGCAAATCTTGGTTTTCCCTGTAGTAGTCAGATAAAAAAACAGGGGAAAAAACCCTCCTACAGGAATATTTTTTCACACTTGTCTTGAAGACTTTACAAAAAATGTTTCCTGTCAAAGAAATTAAGATTAACTTTTTGCTAATGAAGAAATGAAAGCTACTGTTTTACTTTATGTTTGCATGAGCACATCTAGGAATTGTATTTTCAGAGGACAGGAGGTGAAAGAGCACCAGAACTGGACCACTGTAAGAGAAATTTAAAGCACTGCTGTGTACTGAATGGCTGGAAACTGTTGTCCCTTCAATGCCAACAGAGCGACCCCCCAAAAAGTTAAGAAAATTCTTAGACAGTCTTAAAAGCTGCCTGAGCAGCTATTAGAGCCTACTACATGATATCACAGATCTCTTTACACTTCGTAACACTGGAAAAGTCAGACAGTAGTGAAAATATAAGACACAAACCTTCAGCTGAGAAAAGCAGGGACAAAGAAGTAAGAGGTGGAGAAAAGTACAGCAGATGCCCCTACAGCCTGACATAAAGAGAAGCAGCTGTTTGGGCTCAATGTGTACATGATGGGGCACTGCCAGAGGCTGCAGTTACACTCCATGTTCCAACCTAGACACAACTATCGGCCTCCTGGTGACATAGTTTTGCTATATTAGCAGTGAAGGATCATCATAATCTACATTCAGATATTTAATATCATGACCCAGGGTCAACAAAGTGAGGAGGTGTTTGTTCCTCACTACATAGCACCCATTTGTTCCCTTGCACAACCAAAATTAAAAAAGACAAGGTTTTTTTTTTCAGACATATGACAGTACAAAGGCAGGAATAAAGTGGAATTCCACTTCTCTCTATTTGAAGTAAAGATATCCTTTAAATGCAAAGCATTCAAAGACAAAAATAAATCCTTTCACCCATCTCACTGGCAAAAATTCAAAAGCATAACAATAGGAAGGAAACTACCTCAAGCTTAACCTCTTTCCTGAAAATCTTATTAATCCTCCTCCGAAAGATGAAGTGCATTTCATTCCAATCTGCACTTCAGGTTTCACACATGTGCCAGCCCCATGGCACAAGAGCTCCATGCAGCATGGGTCACTGGCCAGCAGCTCACCTGGAAGCCAGATCCTATACAACATGCCTACACAACACTTGGGTGTTTCTGCAACACACCGCAAAAGACTGGATACTACAAGGAAGGCATAACGCTAAACAAAAAATAAAGGTATTTTTATTTTAAAATATTAAGCTAGAGAACACCACTGAATAAACTCTGACAGATGGTGAAGCAAGCCCTTGGCCATAAAGACTGTTAAATATTTTATTATACTGCAGAAAAGTCCCTACATCTTTACAAAATGCTAAATCACCTACCATTTAGTTCACTGAGGTCCTGCTGGAGGGGGG